ACCCCAAGGGGAGCTTGGGCCCAGGCCTGGTAGGAGGCGTAGGCTTTATCCCCGGAAACACTCTAGAGCCGGTTTTTCAAGAGTGAATCAGAGGCCTCCCGCCCTCCTCCTCTCCAAAGCATGGCGCAGCGGCTGGAAGGGAGCGCTTGGGCGTGTAGTCTGGCCCTCGTCTAGCTTATATCAATTCCCAGGAGGCCCCTTCCCCACTTCCTGCTGCCCCCTGCTGCCCCGGATTCTGTGCGGCTGTGGAGTTGCTAAGTTTCAGACTTTTCCCAGGGATGAGAGGCCCCTTGGCTGGTATTCCTCTTCTTTGTTTTCTTGTTCAGGTTTGAGGGGAGACAGGGAAAGTGGGGAGGTGGTGACAGATGTCAACTCCAGAGCAGGCATATCGGGGAGCTGTTTGTTTTTGTTTTTAGAGAGAGAAGATTGTTGCTATAGGGTGCATGCATTCAACAGAGAGGCAGAGACAGAAAGCCAGAAATCACCTGCCCCGGGGAATGGCCACACCGCCATCCCTTCTCCTCCAGCCTCCTCTTGGGATTTTGGGTGCGCGCGCGCGCACACACACACACACGCGCCTGGTATAAGTTTTAAGTCGCCGGATCTGGGACTTGAACCGTGGTCGATTATGTGGGAGTTCAACGGCGTAACCATAGGGTGTAGGTGCTCACCAGAGAGAGAGAGAGAAAGTCAGAAAGCAAGCAACCAGATCTGGGACTCGAACTGTGGTCGGCTATGTGGGAGTCGAGTGCCTTAAGCATCACACTATCCCCTGACCGCAAGGAGTTGTTTTATGGATAGGGAGTGTTCTGCGCTCAGAGAAAGGTCAGAATAGAACCTAAACCACATGCATTCGTTTTTCAAAGATTTACGGAGCACCTACTATGTGCCAGGCCCTGTTCTTGGCTCACCGAATACTGTAGTGACCAAGACGAAAATTCCTGCTCCAGGGGAGTTGGCATCCTGGCCGGCAGGTGACGTGGTGGTTAAGGCGTTGGACTGCCACATGGCTAACCATGGTTCGAGTCCTGGCCCAGCGGGCTTGAAATTTAGGCTGGGACACACATGTGTGCATGCATGCCCAAAATCCCAGGAGGAGAATGGGAGTAGAGCCTGCAGTGTGGCCCTCCCTGCTGTGGGGTGATTTCTCACTTTCCCTCTCTCTCTCCTTTGCTTTCTCTCTCTGACAAGCACTCACACCCTATGGCAAAAATACCTTTAAAAAAAAGGGGGGGGACCAGCAGTTAGCATAATGGCTATGTCGCTGGACTCCATGTAGTCTATCACGGTTCAAGTCTCGGACCTGGTGGTTTAAACTCACACCAGGCGTGTGTGCGTGCGTGCCCAAGATCCCAAGAGGAGAAAGGAGGAGAAGGGATTGCGGTGTGGCCATCCTCCCTGGGGGGTGATTTCTCGCTTTCTCTGTCTCTGTCTGTCTGGCGAGCACACGCACCCTATAGCAAAAACCTCTCCAAAAATAAATAAATGAATAAATAATTTCAGATGGCTCTAAGTGCTATGAATAACATACAAGGGGGTGGCATGAGAGAATAACTGCATACGGGTGCTTTGGGAGAAGACCACTTTGTTTTTTATCTTACTGTATTTTAAGGTTTTTGTCATAGGGTGCGTGGGCTTGCCAGAGAGTAGACAGAAAAGCTACAGAGAGAAGGAAAGTGAGAAATCACCTCCTGGGGGACATGGCCACATTGCAGTCCCTTCTCTGTTTCCCTCTCGGGATTTTGGGCACGCACGAACATGCACCTCGCATGATTTTCAAGCCACCGGGTCTGGGATTTGAACCACAGTCAACCATGTGGAAGTCCAGCATCTTAACCAGCATGACACCTGCCGGCCCTAAGAAGACCACTTTGGAGCTGAGGCCTGAGGATTAAAAGAAGCTAGTCCTGGACCAGAAGATGGCCTAATGGGTACATCGCTGGATTCCCACGTAGTGAACTGCACTTTGAGTCCCGGACCCGGTGGCTTAAAATTCACGCCGGGCGTGTGTGTGCGCGCACGTGCCCAAGATCCCGAGAGGAGAATGGAGGAGAAGGGATTGCGGTGTGGCCATCCCCCATGGGGGGTGATTTCTCACTTTCTGTCTCTCTGTTCTCTCTGTCTCTCTCTGTCTGTCTGGCGAGCGCACACACCCTATAGCAAAGACCTCTCCAAAAAAAAAAAAAAAGGAGCTCCTCCTATAAAGATCAAGGAAGGACATTCTGGACAAAGACCAAAGATTGGGCTGAGCTGGGACAAGACTGAGGCAGAGCTGCAGATCTGGGGCCTCTCAGGGTCTCGGGAGTGTGGCGTTTCCTCCCTAAGGTGGGAAACCTTTGCAAGATTTCAGGCAGGGGAGTGACATCCCCTCTGGTTTATGTTTTAAAATAGAGACACGGAGTTAAATGACAGCCTAAGGCTGGAGGACCGGAGTTCTTCTGTCAGGGCAGCATGTAATTAAGATCGAGGGCCTGAGTGTCTAGACCACAGAGGCGGTTCCAACAGGCTGGGGCAAACCTGGAGTGCTGCCTGGAGGAAATGGCTTAGAAGAGGCTTTGACAGGCAGAGAGGACCAGGATGTTCCTGAGTATGCGAGGGGAGGAGGCAGTGATAATGACAATGGGCCAGTCAAGGACTAGTGGTTAGAGCTGTCAGATCACCTATGGCATGGCCAGTGGTTCAAGGCCTAGACCCAGCGGCCTGAGAAACACACTGGATGTGTGTGTGTGTGTGTGTGTGTGTGTGTGTGCGCGCGCGCGCGCGCGCGCGCGCACCCAAAATCATGACGGGATGAGGAGATGGAGAAGGGATTATGGCATTCTCATGTCCCCGTAGAAGGCGTGTTCTTTTCCCTATCTCTGTCTCTGGCTAGTGTATGTACCCTCAAACCAAAAAAAAAAGGGGTGGGGGGCGGGGCAGCCAGCGGCGTGGTGGTTATGGTGCTGGACTCCCACATGGCTGGCTGCAGTTCAAATCCCAGATCTGGAGGCTTCCTTTCTCACTTTCTCTCTCTGTCTCCTCTGTTAAGTACACATACCCTATGGCAAATGAAATAATAATACATTTTTTTAAGAATGATTCGATCTAACTTTATTTTTTCATTTTATGATTTTAATTTGACTAGAGAGGGACAGAGTGAGAGAGAGCTAAGAAAGTGAGAAAGCGGGACCAGCAGTTAGCGTAATGACTATGTTGTTGGACTCCATGTCGTCGACCGCGGTTCGAGTCCTGGACCCGGTGGCTTAAACTCATGCTGGGCACATGTGCGTGTGTGCCCAAGATCCCGAGAGGAGAATGGAGGAGAAGGGATTGCGGTGTGGCCATCTCCCCTGGGGGGGTGATTTCTCGCTCTCTGTCTCTCTGTCTCTGTCTTTCTGGTGAGCGCATGCGCCCTATAGCAAAAACCTCTCCAAAAAAAAAAAAAAAAAGGTAAAAAAGCAAGCCACCAGGCCTGGGACTCGACCCGTGGTTAGCCACGTGGGAGTCCAGCACCTTTAACCACCATGCCACCTGCTGGCCCAATTAAAATCATTTTTAAAAAGGAAAGAAAAGAAAATGAAAATAATAATGACTTTCTGGCCTGGGGAGGCAGACTGCTAAGCAGTTTACACGCATAATCCTTTTGGAGGGCCGGCCAGTGGTGTGTGGTTAAGGTGGCTGGATCTTACATGACTGGCTCTAGAGTTCAAGTCCCAGACCCGGAGGCCTGAAAAACACACTGGATGCGTGTGTGTGCGTGACCAGAATCCCAAGAGGAGAATGGAGAAGGGACTATGGTACGGCCAGCCCCTCTAGGGAGTGATTTCTCACTTTCTCCCTCTCTCTGTCTCCCTCTCTCCGATGAGTACACACACCCTATAGCAAAATAATAAAATAGCATAAAATAAAAATGACTCCCATAAGCACCCTGAGAAACAAGAATTCTCTTGCCCATTTTTCAGATGAGGAAACCGAGGTCCCAAGAAATGAAGTGACTAGCCCACGGCCCATCAGCTGGTAAGTGGCAGAGGTGGGATTCAAACCCAGGCCAAAGCACTTGTTAGAGCCTGGAAGGCAAACTTCTTAATCACCCACTTTCCCACCGATCCTGATCGCCCCCCATCACAGATGGGAACACAAGCCGGCCTGGAGTGAAGCAGCGGGTGTGGGCATCCGGGAAGAGAAAAGCTGGTTCGTGGTGATTGGCCGAAAGGTGGTGCAGGAGGCGGGCCAGCCAGGTGCTGGGGTCATTGAGGTGTCTGGATCTCACACGGCCGACTCCATGATTCAAGTCCAGACCTGGTGGCTTAAACTCACGCTGGGCACGTGTGCATGCGTGCATGCGTGCCCAAGATCCCCCCTAGAGGGTATGGCCACACCACAATCCCTTCTCCATTCTCCTCTCGGGATCTTGCGCACGCATGCACACGCGCCCGGTGTGAGTTTAAGCCACCAGGTCCGGGACTCAAACCATGGTCGACTACATGGGAGTCCAGCGACATAGCCATTACGCCATCTGCTGGTCTTATAGACTTTTTTCTCGAAGAGAGAATTGTGGTTTAGCATGTGTGCACTTGCTGGAGAGACAGAAAGCAAGAAATCACCCCCCAGGGGGATGGCCGTGCCTCTATCCTTTCTCCTCCTTCATGCTCCTCTCGGGATTTTGGGCATGCATACACATGTGCCTGGCATGAATTTCAGGCTGCTGGATCCAGGACTTGAACCGCGATCAACAATGTGGGAGTCCAGCAACAGAACCATTATGCCATCTGCTGGTCCCATGGAGTCTTTTTTTTTTCCCAATTTGCCAGAGGGACATGGTTATACTGCAATCTTTTTTCCTCCATCTATCTATTCTTTCAGAATTTTGCGCACACACACCAGGTACGGGACTCAAACCATCTAGTCGACCACATGGGATCCAACAGCCTTAACTACCTCACCACTGGTTGGCCAGAGATAAGAATGTCTTTTTTTTTTGAAGAGGTTTTTGCTATAGGACGCATGCACTCGCCAGCCAGCCAGAGAGAGACAGAAAGCAAGAAATCATGCCCCAGGAGGGATGGCCACACCGCAATCCCTTCTCCTCCATTCTCCTCTCGGGATCTTGAGCACGCACGCACATGTGCCCGGTGTGAGTTTTAAGCCACCGGGTCTGGGACTTGAACCGTTGAACCGCAGTCGACTACATGGGAGTCCAGTGACATAGCCATTACACCAACTGCTGGTCCCAAGACAAGAATATCTTAAGGACTGGCCCGACAGCCTATTCCTCAGTGTTTCTCCAGAGCCAGGCAGAGGGATGGCCCAGCTACTGAGTATTGGGATTATTCATTCAACAAATATTTGCTGAGCACCTGCTAGGCATCCGTCACTGTTTCTTACGCTAAGAAAATAGAAATGAGTAAAACAGACAAGATTTCCTGCCCTCTCAGAAAATAGACAACGAACAGCATAAATAAATAAATTCGGGACCAGCAGTAGGAGTAATGGCTATGTTGCTGGACTCCCACGTAGTTGACCACAGTTTGAGTCCCGGACCTGGTGGCTTAAACTCACGCCAGGCGCGTGTGCGTGCGTGCCCAAGATCCTGAGAGGAGAATGGAAGAGAATGGATTGCGGTGTGGCCATCCCCCATGGGGGGTGATTTCTCACTTTCTGTCTCTCTGTCTCTCTCTGTCTGGCAAGCGCACGTGCCCTATAGCAAAAAAAAAAAAAAACGCTTCAAAAAAAGAGAGAGAAAGGGAGAAAGGAAGTCACCGGGTCTGGGACTCAAACCACGGACGGCTATGTGGGAGTGCCCAGGACCTTAACCACCACGCCACCTGCTGGTCCCCCCTGGTGAGATTTTTAAGCCACCGTGTCCGGGACTCGAGTCACAGCTGGCCGTGTGGGAGTCCAGTGCCTTAACCACTGTATCACCTGCTGGCCCCGACGTTGGCTTTAATACCAGTTGCTGTAAGATGCCCTGGGAAGGATGGCAGCAGGGGACAGACGTGACATGACTTACCTTGTACAGGATCACGCTGGCACTGGCTTGACAAGAAACCTCGAGGGGTAAGGACAGACGCCAAGAGCCCAAGAGGAGACAACCGCACTGCTCTCGGTGAGTGACAATGGAGCGGGACCAGGGGACAGAGCGGGGCCAGGGGACAGAGCGGGGCCAGGGGACGGAGTGGGGCCAGGGGACGGAGCGGGGCCAGGGGACGGAGCGGGGCCAAGGGACCGGAGAGGTTGTTACAAAGCTCATGGAGGGCTGGTCTACAGTGCAGTGGTGAAGCCCTGTGCCTGGGAGACAGACCCCACAGAGCCCACCACCATTCCAATCCCAGCCCTGGTCCTTGAAAAACATGCAGGGTGGGGCCAGCAGGTGGTGTGGTGGTTAGGGCAGCTGGCCTCCCACATGGCTGAGCACGGTTCAAGTCCTGGATCTGGCAGCCTGCTGTATCACTTTCCCTTTCTCTCTCTGTCTCTCTCTGGTCAACTTTTAAAAATAAATAAAGGGGGGCCGGCAGGTGGCATGGTGGTTAAGGGCACTGGACTCCCACATGGCTGACTGTGGTTCAAGTCCTGGGCCTGGTGGCCTACCTTCTCACTTTCTCTCTCTCTCTGGCTCCGGCCTTCTCTGGTCAAATTTAAAATAAATAGATAAATTAATTAAATTAAACAATCTTTTAAAATAATAAATAAATAAATAAAGGGGCTGACAGGTGGCATGGTGGTTAAGGGTGCTGGATGTCCACCTGGTCGACCAAGGTTCGAGTCCCAGACCTGGAGGCTTGTTTTCTCACTTACCCTCTCGCTCGCTTTCTCACTCTGTCCCTCTCTGGTCAAATTAAAATAAATAAATAAATAAACGTAAATGAAATGATTAAGAAGTAAATAAATAAAAAGAATGACAATGAAGGGGGGGGGAGGGAGGAAAGAAAACCATGCAGGGTGTGCATGGCTAAGGTGGAGAGAAGGAGAGACAAGTCCCCGCATGGGGAATGATCACGCCGCAATCCCTTCTCCTCTGTCTCTCCTTCCCGTTGAAGTGTTTTTGTTTATGTGTTTCTTGTGTTTTTTTCTTTTTTTAAGCTTTTGTCATAGAGCACACACACTCACTGGAGTGAGACACAGAAAGACAGAGAGCAGGAAATTGAGAAATCACCCCCCGGGGGGGGGGGATGGCCACGCCACAATCCCTTCTCCTCCCTTCTCCTCTCGGGATCTTGGGCACGCACGCACACGCGCCCGGCGTGAGTTTAAGCCACCGGGTCCAGGACTTGAACCCTGCAGCTGGCCAGGTGGGATCCAGCACCTTAACCTCCACGCCCCCTGCTGGCCTAGTCCATGAACTTTTGGAAGTCCCCTCTCCGGAGGTTCTTGCTCCGGCAATGAACTGCTGCAGTGTAGTGTCACACGTCACTTCCTGTCACTACTCATTGGCCAGAACTAGTCATACTCCTGCCCATCGCGAGGGGTTGGGGGAACCAGCAGTTAGCGTAATGGCTATGTCTCTGGACTCCCACGTAGTCGACCGCGGTTCGCATCCCGGACCCGGTAGCTTAAACTCACGCCGGGCGCATGTGCGTGCGTGCCCAAGATCCCGAGAGGAGAATGGAGGAGAAGGGATTGTGGCGTGGCCATCCCCCCCGGGGGGTGATTTCTCGCTTTCTGTCTCTCTGTCTCTCTCTGTCTGTCTGGTAAGCGCATGCGACCTATAGCGAAAATCTCTCCAAAAATAAGAGGGGTTCAGCAAGTGCCAGTGTGCCTCAAAGGGGAAGAGTCGGAAATCTGAGGGGGCCGGCAGGTGGCATGAGGCTAAGGTGGATGAACACCACACAGCAGACTTTGTGTTTTACGGCCTGGATCCAGCAGTTAGAAAACCATGCCGGGCGGGCGCGCGCGTGTGTGTGTGTGTGTGTGTGTGTGTGTGTGTGTGTGTTTTCTCACTTGCCTTCTCTCTCTCTGATGGATCCATGTGCCCTATCGCAAATTTTTAAAAGAATAAACAATTTTAGGAGGCAGGTCGAATTAATGACTGCAACAGATAGAAAAACAAACAGAGGTTTGACTGCTTTGAGTATCCATTTCCTCTTTTTATCTTGAGAGGTTTTTTTTTTTTTCCTTTTTTTTTTTTTTTTTTTTGAGAGTGTTTGCTATAGGGCTCGTGCGCTCGCCAGACAGACGGAGGGGGGCAGAGAGTCAGAAAGTGAGAAATCACCCCCCAGGGGGGATGGTCACGCCGCAATCCCTTCTCCTCCATTCTCCTCTCGGGATCTTGGGCATGCACGCACACGCGCCTGGCGTGAGTTTAAGCCACCGGGTCTGGGACTCGAACCGCGTTCGACTACGTGGGAGTCCGGCGACATAGCCATTATGCTAACTGCTGGTCCCACACACCCAGTGTGAATTTTAAGCTGCTAGGTTCCAGGACTCAAACCATAGTCAGCTTCATGGGAGTCCAGGAATGTAAACCTTGCGCCATCTGCTTCCCTATTTTTTTTTCTTTTTTTGGAGAGGTTTTTGCTATAGAGCACATGCACTTGCCAGACAGACAGAGAGAGACAGAGACAGAAAGCGAGAAATCACCCCCCAGGGAGCATGGCCACGCCACAATCCCTTCTCCTCTGTTCTCCTCTCAAGATCCTGGGCACGGGGAACCAGCAGTTAGCGTAATGGCTATGTCGCTGGACTCCCACGTAGTCGACCGCGGTTCGTGTCCCGGACCCGGTGGCTTAAAACTC